GTTTCTGCCTGCCAGATTTCAGTAAGAAATGTCCCCCCCCCACCTTGCACTTTTGATTCCAGAAGTGTGATTGTATGTGGGCATCATTGAAGGTCCTTAGAGAAGTCAACATTAGGTTTTGCTTTGAAGGCATCTTTTTTTTTTGGGAGGGCTAGAAAATAATGATAAAATGCATGATACCACGCATGTCCTGCCAGTTGGCCCTCATTCCTCTAAAAATGTCTTTAATGGTTCAACAAGTCATTAGATCTGTGTTGCAGGCTGTGGTCACACATGAACATAGGCAAAGCATTTTAGATGGCTATTTATTATGGTGAACATTACTTGTGAACAATCCAGATCCCGAAGTGCAATTTCCACAGGCATCCTCTGGACCCCTCCTTGGGGAAAGGTGTAGACCAGCAAGACTTGCATCAAGACTTGACACTTGTATCCTGGGAGTATCCTTCTGAAGAAAAAAAATAGGAGCATTTGGCAATCTGCCTTTGAAGGCCCTTCCTAGATCAATGGGGGCGAACTGGCAGTACATGGATGGTATTGGGTATATTTTATAATTATTTTCCAGCCTTCACATCATAGTGTTATATCTGACTTGGAATACAACATGATGTGTGCCTTGAATTTTTTTTAAAATAGTTACGATGGAAGTGTCTCACCACCAATGATTGTTGGTCAAGTGAAATGAGGCCTTTGGTTTAACTTGACAGTTCACTATTCTGTGTGAAGCATACAATCTTCCTGGAACACTGACACAATGGAATTAAATTTGGTATACATATTCAGGACACATTTCACTCAAAGCTCACCCCTGTTTCAAATGGGAAAGAAAAGTTGCTAAAAATATTTCAATACAATATGCAACTGGAAGATTGTGATATCGGAATGAATGTCAATGTGCTCATTTGGGATGCAATTTTATGTTTGAACCGGCACCTGCTTTCAAGAGGGTGGACAGAAAAGGTGTAAAATACATTGTAATGTAATATCATCCTTGAGTACTGAGACCTCACAATAAAAGCTGGCCTGTGTATCTACAATATAATTCCCTGTTTGTTATCCAGACACATACTTAATCCATGCATATGTTTTCAAGGTAGAGAGGAAAGATGCAAAATCCAATGCAATATATGAAACAGGGTCTCTTGCTTTACTAATTGCTTTATTATCACAAATGTAAGGTTCTGTATTTAGGTAGGAAAAATCAAATGCATAATTATAGGTTGGGTACTTGTCTTGGCAGTAGTATGTGCGAAAAGGATCTAGGGGTCTTAGTAGAAAATACACAGAACATGAGTCAGCTGACAACTGAGAAGTGATATGATAACCATCTTCAAGTACTTGAAGGGCTGTCATATAGCGGATGGTGCAGAGTTGTTTTCTGTTGCCCCAGGTCAGACCAGAACCAATGGATTGAAATCATTGAAAGCGTTTTTGGCTAAACATTAGGAAGAACTTCCTGACAGTAAGAGCAGTTCCTCAGTGGAACAGGCTTCCTTGGGAGGTGGGGGGCTCTCCTTTGGAGGTTTTTAAACAGAGGCTAGATGGCCATCTGACAGCAATGCTGATTCTGTGAATTTAGGCAGATCATGAGAGGGAGGGCAGGAAGGGTTGCATCAGTGTATCAATGCCCAGGGAAATACTGATTGCCACTTTGGGGTCAGGAAGCAATTTTCTCCAGGCCAATTTGGCCAGGGATCCTGGAGGTTGTTTTTTTTTTTTTTTGCCATCTTCTGGGCATAGAGTAGGGTTCACTGGGGGTGCATGGCGGAGGAGGTATTTGTGAATTTCGTGCATTGTGCAGGGGGTTGGACTAGATGAACCTGGAGGTCCCTTCCAACTCTATGATTCTATGATCTATGTCCCACTCTTCCTCCAATGCTCTTACAGTGGTGTACATGGTGAATCATTCCATATTTTCCTCATAACAAGCCTATGAGGTAGGTTAGGCTAAGAAGTAGTGACTGGTCCATGATAGTAAAAGTGAGTTTCATGACTGAGATTTGAGGTCATTCAGAGAAGTCCAGCTGTCAAACTACTACAACATACTGACTTTGGAGGCCAAACAAAACACTGGGAATTTCCCTTGGAGCTGCTGCTTAGGGCACACACAGAGATCTTGTATCAGACCTATGTGTTTGTCCATATAGTACAAGGTCATTCTGGGTAGGGAAAATGGCACAGAGAAGAGATTTAACCCCACCCCCCAGTGCTCCCAATTCAAATGGGTCCTTGTGACCAGCTATTTAAAAGAAAAAGAGTGCATAAGAACTTTGGACTTGGAATAGATGCAGGACAAGGAAGCACTTGTACTCTCACTAAAACAGGTACGTCTGCCCTCACAGTTTGAAATGCATCAGTCAAGACGGCATAGCCAGCCATGGTCTAGCCCAGGGATGTCAAACATGTGGCCCGGGGGCCGAATCAGGCCCCCAGAGGGCTTCTATCAGGCCTGCAGTGGAACTGTCTGTCTTCTGCTTCTTATTCCAGTTCTGCAGCTGCTGCATCATTGTAGGTTTGCAGCTTACAGATACACACCTAAACTGCATACTCAAGACTGCAACATTTTGATATAATAATTCAGAGCAAGAGGTGTCAGTTATCAGACACTATTAAATAAACAAAATATTGCAAGAGTGCTGTTTTAAGGATGTTTTTATTTTAAGTAAAAACAATCTTTGTGTTTGTGTCTTTTATAAAGTTTATATCTCTGCTACCTGGTATTATGCTACCTGGCATTTATGACACACACGGCCCGGCCCAACAAGGTCTCATTTGTCAGATCTGGCCCTCATAACAAATGAGCTTGACACCCCTGGTCTAGCCCTTAAAAAGCGTAGTTAGGGAACATTCTAACCAGGGCCAGGTTAAGGAAATTGGCTATTATTCTAAAACAAGCCAACAAAACAAACCCTTGTGTTTTACACAGTTCTGTGGCCACAGGCCCAATGTCAAAATTTTTGAGCCAGAGGCTGAGTGAGCCCCAGAGGGCCATGTCCTCTGCTTCTGAAGGATAATATCCACCATCTAGAATGGAAGGAAGGGTTATGCCTCAGTGGTAGAGCATCTGCTTAGCATACAGTAAGTCCCAGCTTCAATCCCCACCATCTCGTTTTGTTCCACCCCACCCCCCAAAGAATCAGGTAACAGGTGATGTAGAAGACCTTTAACTGAGACCCTGGAGAGCTGCTGCCAGTCATACTGATCTCGATGGGCCAAAGGTCTGATTCAGCATAAGGCAGCTTCATATGTTCAATGGTTCACAGAAAGTTTGTGAACACTGACAGAGATAAATTGTATTACTTGTTGGTAGTGCTGATAAGTCCTCCTAGCTAATGGATACCCACAGGGCTTTTTTTGTAGAAAAAGCCCAGCAGGAACTCATTAGCATAATAGGCCATATCCAACAGCAGGAACTCATTAGCATATTAGGCCACACCCCTGACAGCACAGCTCATTCACATATTAGGCCACACCCCCATGTTACCAGAAGTGTGGTCATCCAGCCACACCCACCTTTTGCTTCTTATTCTCTTTACCTTGTTTGTTGTCAAAACCCAGGGCTTTTTTTGGAGCAGGAACTCCTTTGCATGTTAGGCCACACCCCCTAATTGTAGCCAATCCTAATGAGTTTCTGCTGTTGGGTGTGGCCTATTATGTTAATGAGTTCCTGCTGGGCGTGGCCAACTTGGAAGCCAGCCGGAACTCCGTTCCTGTGCGTTCCTGCCCAAAAATAGCCCTGGATACCCATGAAACTAATGCAGCCACATCCTGCCCAGCACTCACAATTGTGACTGACAGCACTGAAAAATTTGCAGTGACAGCAGTACTGTTGTATGAATGCTAAGACGACACAATATTTCTGAACGAAGTCCTTTCTTGAGGAAAAGAGTAACAACTGAACAGTTCTTACACTATGAAAAATCAGCTGGAAAGAGACTAAACGCTTATCTTCTTAACAAAGTGGTTTAATACTCATCTGCTCCTTTCAAGGAAACTGGGGAATTCCCAGGCTTCCTGAGAAGAGTGTATGTAGCTGGAATCTGGACACTGGGGAAAGTGTATCTAGGCAGGGTTTCAATTCTATTGGACAGATCCATTTCCCAAGAAAGCTGTCATGTACCCAAGTACATCTGAAACGAAGAGTCTGATTCATACAGAAACTTTGGTTTTATTATCAGGACCTTGAGCTAGGCAAACTATGTGTTTATCACAGAGCCACATCTACAATGCTTACAACAATGAGGATATGGGCTTCTCTAAAAAGGGAAGTTAATGACCTTTTTTAAAAAAAATACCTTGTTTCTCATCCCTTATACAAGAGGCTGCTCTTATCCTTGTTTATAAAGTACACTTTTGGTTTTGAAATTAGAACATTTAAATATTAATTACTTGCTTCTATGACAGGTACATTCTAATTACATACCTAAAACAGGAGCTTTTAAAATACATATATTATACCTTCTAGATTAAGCTTATCCTTTTATCATTCTCTTCTCCCTCATAAATAGTATGGGATGCAGCAGAGTGTTATATTTGAAATGTGAGACCTGTGGAAATTTTGCCATATCCCATGCTATTCCTGCTCTTCCCCTGACCCTCGCAGCAACTTTTTGGGCAGCATGGTGAGGGGCTGCAGAAACCAAGAAGAGGTAGAAAGACCAGATCTACAAGATGAGCTCTCAGTCTTGATTCTTAGTATCTGGCTCATTACTTCTTCAAAACTATCCATGTAAATCACAATGAATGTATAAAACTCTGAAGAGGAACAAAGCCTCTCAATCCATGTATGCAGATTTTTAAAATCCCAACTTGTCCATCTCAAAAGTGGATAAAGTGTAAAAAGCTCTATAAAAGAGAAAGTTCTATCACATGATTTCTACTGCCACGGCTGCACTGTGATGTGAAACTAAAAAGCTATGCTTCTTATACAGTACACCAAGCTAAGCCCATTGAAATAAAAGGATTTACATTAAAGTAATTCTGCAAAGGAGTGTGCTGAAAATCTGGAAACCGTAGTCTTATCTATATGTCTCAACAAAAGCACTTTTGATCAGAGTAATCCATACTGGCGACACCTGGAAGGACTATAAATATCTAAAAGTACACTGAAAGTTACCAGTGAACTGGGGTATATTTCACTTCTTCAATGTACTCTAGTATAGAAGCATAAGGCAGAAATCCTGCAAAATGAGTAGAAGAGATGGTCTCTTGGAGAACCCATTGTGTCTTCTTAGCTCTTTTCCCTCTGTGTGACTGTATTTTTGAGCAGGGAGCTCTCTTTAAAGAGAAAATCATGTTTTCAGAAATGACATTTTTGAAGAATAGTGGTTTACAAGGATTTCCAGTCAGGGTACAAATAATTATGTACTTTCATCTGAGACGCATCCTCCATAAAACAAACAAAAAAAACCAAACCCATGTCTGCACTAAGATCTGGGAACAATTCAGCAAATATGCTGAAAATGTGATTAGATTTAGACTTTGGATCTATTCTGTAAGGCAATGGATACTAAAAAAACAAGTGAAACAGTGTGAGGTGGCATCATAAAGATAAAAGAGCTGTGCAAACAGAAAACCAGAATGCATGCACATACTAAAGAAAGGTGTCCTGCAGGATGACCCAGAACAAGTAACCATTACAAAACAAGTCCAAACCAAAAGCTGACTCCCCTCTCCCCACACCATTTGTTTAAAATGGGGAGACTGTGTATCATTTGCCTCAGGAGATTCTATCTGCATAATGTATTTTCCAGATTTATCTGCACTTTATCAGGAGTGACTTGTTTTAGCTGTGGAGCTGCCACGCAGGACACACCTTTAAAAGGCCTGGAGCAATGGAGGGGAGAAGGCAGTTGCAGCTCCTCCCATCCATTTCCTGCTTGGCTCTGTCATCCCCTCCTCTCACCTGTCTTGCAGCACACCTGAAGCCCCGTGCTTAGCACAGCAGCTGACCAAGGCAGACAACAGAATCAGGGAGAAAACAAGTGGGAGGTGCTGTGGCTGCACTGTCTCCCAAAGATGCTGCATATCCTATTTGCAGCATCTGGATTTTTTGCAGCGCTTGGAATGTTTGACAGGAAGCAGGGGAAGAGGAGAAACCCAGTGCTTACAGAGAACAAGGACTCAGCCACAGAGCTGGAAAGTATACAAGAAACCCCAATTCTTGATCCTAGGATGCTGTGCCCAGTCCTGAATCTCTACAAACTCTTCCCTCATAATTTCCAAAGTTTTCAATGATGAGGGTTAAACAATTCCATTTAAACATACATTGACATTAAAATTCTTTGTATCCTAGCTTCTGCACTATTCCAGATTCCTTGCTGGGTATGGAGAGCACAGAAGAAATCTGGCACACATGGGACTGTGTCCAAAGATTCTCCCATGAAGTTGTCACTTGTTCACATTTTTTGCCTTAAAATGGCTTATTGATATCTGGTAGATTCCAAGATGCATTGATGGCCATAAGATGAAGTCCACAGTTTTGAAGGGTCCATCTGTCCCCCCGTTCACACAGTATGACGAAGGGAGAGACGTTGGATCTTGAAAGATTTCAGTAGCACTTCAGAGTCCTCCTCAAGAGGAGCCCTCATCGTGGCAGGGGTCCACTGAGGGCATCATGCCTGGGCATCAAGCCAAAGTTCAAGGAACGGTGCAAAAGAGGGCAGATCTTTTCATGGTCTCTCAAGACTTCTGTCAGTTGTTTCATTTCATCTGTCAGCTTCCCAATCTCTCTTTTCAGGGAGGTATTCTCCTGCTCAAGGCACTCGTATTCCTAAAACAAAAGAAAAACCACTCGCAGTCACTATTTTTATTTCACTACTTTCTTCTTGTAAGTCAAAGGAAATTATGAAAATACCATTTCTTCTTGTAAGTGGCAGGGTGGAGAGAGCTGAGATACCCCCCCCCCCGAGCAGGATGCAAGCTCAAAACAGTCCTGTAAGCAATCAGAATATTACTCTTTTATTCGTAAAAATTGGGTATTATAATTATAAATATACCAATTACTTTAGGATAGAATTTTAGATTTGTTGTTTAGGAACTTACTCCGAACTTAAATAAAATGCAGAATTTTGGGATCTGTACTTTGTTAAAACTATTATTATAATAATTATTATATTGTATAATGTTTTATCAAGTTATATTGTGTTATATTATTGTTGACTGTTTATATTTTTGAAAATTAATAAAATATATATATATTTAAAAAAACAGTCCTGTAAGCAGGAGCTATCAAGAGCCATGGACTCTTGCTCCCTGTGCTAATGGCACACTGTGGATGGCATTCAGGTGGCGTAACCATGTTCGTCTGAAGCAGTAGAACAAAGCTTGAGTCCAGTGGCACCTTTAAGACCAACCAAGTTTTATTCAAGGAGTGAGCTTTCGTGTGCATGCACAATGTGTCTGAGAAAGTGTGCATGCACACGAAAGCTCACACCTTGAATAAAACTTGGTTGGTCTTAAAGGTGCCACTGGACTCCAACTGTGGATTCCATTGTGAGCGTTAATGTGCAGAGAGGTTGATATATGGACAACTCACTCTGGGCCAAGGGTTCTTTCCAGATTTCAGATTCTATGGCTAAGGGTCAGCACTGGTGCAAGTTTGCAGAGCGCCTGCCTGGGACCGGCCTGTGTGCTGGATGAAATCTCTTTGTCTAGGTGTTCAGCTGCAGACTCAGCTCTAGACTGAAAGCAAGGAGCTGAAGACAGGCCCCAAGCATAAGCTGCAAATCTCCAGGAAGTTAATATTTATTTCCAGACTAGGCAGTCAGTGTACTTTTGACTGTGTCCAAGTGACAGCCTCAGCTCAAAGCACATATGAAAAATCTCATGGTTGTGAATCACTGAGGTCAGTTCGATAGTCAGCTCCTTAAAATTACATATTACCAGTTACTGCAAATCTTACAGAGAAAAGGCAAATGCCACAAAAAATTAATTGGATAGATCTAGGAAGCTTCTTTCAGGATGTGGAATGGTAAGCATAGCCCGATCTTGTCAGATCTTGGAAGCTGAGCAGGGTCGGTACTTGGATGGGAGACCACCAAGGAAGACTTTGCAGAGGAAGGCCATGGCAAGCCACCTCTGCTTAATCAGCCTTGAAAAGCCTACAAGGTCACCATAAATTGACTGCGACTTGATAGCACTTTACACACACACAGGAGGCATCTTCAGATATTAACTCCAACAGGATCCCTGTTCTGTCCAGTCCCCAGCATCAGGTATGTACACTCAAAACTGGGACTCTGGTTAATTAAGCATCTGGTGAGTGCCACAGAGGCCCAGCAGACCACAACCACCCCCCTCCCTCCCTCCCTCCCAAGCCTGGGCTGATGGTGCACAAGGAAATCTGGGGGGGGGGCAAATCTAGGACAGAGCCACCCTTCCCTCTTCATCCACACATGTCTCTGTGATATGCACCAGGTCAGTTTCCTCAGGTCCTTCTTCCATGTAGGCATCTCCAGCTGGTAGAGGCATATTAGTGATCAGGCAATTGGCTGCTAGAGGAGAGGTGAGGCCCACAGGCACCCTCTTCCCTAAACCTGAAAGTTTCAGAAATTTTACCTTCCTGAATGCTATCTATGCTCTGATCACCTCCCAACCTATAACCTTGCATGTGGCCTTCCCCCCCCTCCCCCGGCACTGTATCTTCTTTTTAGTCAATGCAGATTATCTCTGCTAAAAAACTCTTCTTCTCCACTCCTCTCCTTAAGATCTTATCTACAGCTCACATTTTTTAAAGCTCTTCACTTGCTTTTTCTCAAGGCAGTATTGTGCCCCCTGTTAGGCTGGCATTGGGCTATTCCATGTTAATATGGTTTATAAATGCTTGACAGCCAGTCAGACTGCTGGTACTTAACAGCCTCCCTGATTTTGTAGTCCTGGGCAGGCAGTAAAACGAGAAAGATTCCCAAGACTGGGTGGACCACATGCAGTGATTTCTGTGGTGGAATTGACAAACTACCGCCTTCAAATCCCTCCACAAAACCACACATTTAAAATTCCTTTCTTGAATCAGTACAGCTCCATTTTAAAATCTGGGCTTTTGGAGGACGCTCCTCTACTCCATCTTCTTTGCTCCTTTGCTACCCATTTTCTTAATTGTTACCCTGAATGGAGGGCTTCCTTTCAAAATGTAGGTGGAGGGAAAATGAGGGGGACAGGCGCCGTAAATTTACAATGCAAATTCAGCAGTGAACTGCTAATTTCCAATTTATTTATTTAGCATATTTCTACGCCTCTTCAGAGTCCTGCTCAGCTTGAATGTGTGGATATGACAGACCTGGCACAACTACACTTTTTTGGGGGGTGGGGAGGTGAGATTAAAAAATCAGCAGCAGCTGCTCAATCACCACGACTCATATCCTTGTTATCTGTATGAAATTACCCTGTAGTCCATGTGAACTTAGTGGAATGAATGAATAACCTGCTCTCTCCCACAGAAAAGGCACATCAAGCAGAGCTACACATTACGGTAGGATTACCCATGTCCAGGTGAGGCCCACAGTCCTCCTGGAAAGTGCTCTCTACACTACAGAGATCAGTTTCCTTGGAGGAAATGGCAGTTTCAGAGGGTGAACTCCGTGGCATCACATCTCTGTTGAATTCCCTCCCCAAACTCTGCCTAAAGCAATCACCCCAAAATCTCCAGAAATTTTTCAAGCCATAGTTGGCAACCCTAAATTATAGGTAGGCTCGTTCTTCTTCTTCTTCGTCTTCCAGATTAAAAAAAACACAGAGATTGTAGTCATGGGGGTTGAGATTTAAAGGGGAAGACTGTGTGTGTGTGTGTGTGAGTGTGAGAGAGAGAGAGATATGATTAAATTCTTATCTTTCTTTTGTCTCTGCTAAACATTTACCTCCTTCAAGCTGCCCTCCCCCAATTTACAAATACTGTAATTTTCTCCAGAGGTAATTTAGATGCTCAGCACAGAAAATGGCATGAGGGTAAAAAAACAAAACAAAATAGGTCCACACAAAGGTACCCCATTAAACTGCAGCCCTGAGGCTGAAATCGGGGTGGGGGGAGGACCCAACCCAGATTACAGAACTAAACATAATGAGTAGTTCCGCCTTTTCCCTCTAAACTTCCACCCTTATTCAAAGGGTTGCTAAACTGCATTCATGATTGCTCACATGGAAGCTTTGAAGCCTCAGGGATAAAACGGGCAGTTGCTATTATCATAACCCTTGTCATTCTAGATTTCAGCCTCTCTTCTTAAGAAACTTTACAGTAATTAATTAGTTGTGTTAAAGAGAACACTGAGATACAGTTAGTGACCAGAATCAAATGAGGCCACACCCTAAATCTATAGAGGGGCGTTATAAATATTGGAAGAATGAGTAAAGAAACACTAGAGGTTTTCCTACAATTAATTTAGATCATGACCTAAGTGACAGCAGCTCTACTGGCTGGAAAAGGCAGCAGTGAAAAAGTATCCACTGTAAATAAATATTTCAGTTTTTTTCTGTTTATGGTCACTGAGAAAGATCATCTTCTTCCATTCCTTCATGCAATATTTTCATATCACTCAAACGTTAAGAAGTTCTCCTCTAAACCAGTGTTTTTCACACTTTCCATTGTCATGGTCGACTTGTCACACTGACTTCTCTGCTGACGAACTATCTAAAAATGTGCCAGTAAAGCACTGAAGAGGAGTCTGGGCCTTTCTACAGTACACATATGAGGCACTGGGCCACACCTGTTGGGATTCACTGTACCCATGTAAACTGAGAGTTTGTCTGGTAATACACTAAAATCTCTTCTGAAGCTGTACATTCTGGGGCAAAATTGGTAACTGTGTGTTATTCTGGGGGAACTCATGTCTCCATTCTTCATCTTCTCTCTAGGTAACTACTGATACATTTCGAAGAAACCCCAGAACTCCCAAGAACAAGCTATTCTTCTAAGCCAATCATTGCAGAACTAGGAATTCAATGGCACAATCAGGCCTGGGAACCGAGACTGCTGGCAAACTACAACAAAGTTGTGGGAAGAAGACACAAAAATGTACTGGAGAAACAAAAGGCAAGAAGGCACTACATCACCTTCTTCCAGCTACTTTTCTCCTAGCCTGGATTCCCAGACTTTTGATTGCTGCATTACAAAGAAAATTGGCTTGAAGGAGGAAAGGCGGAGGAGCAGCAGTGCTGTCAGGAAGAAGAAGGGTTAACCACTCCCACCTACCAGCTGTTTTTCAACTGGAAATCACATCCTCCCCTTAGTTGCCTTGCAGCTGGAACCCAGACTGAGGTGTGCCGCTAAATGTTTAGTTCAGCCCTTAGACAAGTATGAAGACAACCCAGTACATGCTTTATTTTTATTTTATTGGTATTTGTTGCATTTGTGTCTGTGTGCGCGTGCCCGTGCCTGGAAGTCATGGTGACCTCTGGAGACTCCTACAGGGCATGGAGGACATTCAGGGAAGTGGCTTGATCACCTGCCTCTGGCCTTCCGGCCCTGGTATTCTCTGAAGGTCTCCCATCCAAATACTTGCCAGGGTCAGCCCTGCTTCGCTTCTGAGATCTGACGAGATCGGCTTTGCCTGGGCTATCCAGGTCAGGGCATGCTTTATTTTTATTTATGAAAATATGTACACCTAGCCTTTGCTCTTGGTTCTGGGCTTTAGGGTGATGGTAGTGTTAATCTCTTAAAACAGTGGTCCTCATCCAATGAGTTAGACACTCTGGTGCATCATGAGCCGCTACAGAAATGCCATATATTTCTGCTATTTTTTTGGAAAGACCTGCTACTTGTGTGGATGCATAAAAAGGGAGAGCACCATCTGCCCTTCTGCACATACTGAGGCTCAAACTAGACACAACAATGACTTTTAACAAGTCACCCTGGAGCTTCAGGAAACTGAAAGAGCTGCCTCCCCTCCTGCACAATTTCCCTGAACTAAATTGGTCCAGGGGCACTATTTGGCCCATTTTGGAACTACACAACTTCCTGGGGCCATTTCAGCTGAGGAAAACATCACCGGGGGGGGGGACAGGTGCCCCTCCTTTCCCCATACCCTGTTCCCAAGCTGAATTGGACCCATGAGGCTCTTTAAAAGTTGGTTCCATCTAGCTCATGTGTGATGTGGAGAATGTGGGTCAGACTTGGGAAATCCTGACCTGACTCATTAAAAGTTCTACCATCTAGTCTGCACCTGAGAGGAGCAGCAGCAAAGCAACAAGGAAAGGTTGCTCAGCAGTAGAGAGGATTCCGTTTTAGCACAGGAATGTTCAGACCCTCTTTCTGTCATCTGACAGAGATGTTAGGCCATACGCTTACAGCTCAGTGGATCTCATGTTGCTGTGTGGGGTTAAAGTTGGATCCCTTATCTCGGAAGGCTGAAAACCATTGCCATAAGGCTGAATCCCCACATTGTTATGCTGTGGCAATCATTCACACCTGGCTTGGCTTGTCTATGCCAGAAAATTCGGTTGTAAATGATTGCTATAGTGCAGCCATCCAACAATCGCCAACAGTGTACAGATGCAGCCCAAGAGTCAGGGTAATAATCACCTCATGGAGCTTATCAGCTTTCTGTGTTTGTTTCTTCCTGCTCCTCTGGGCAGCAACTCTGTTCTTCTCTCTCCGTCTTACTTTCCTTTCATCATCTTCGTGACCCTGGTCAATGAAACCAAATCAGTTAGGCAGCTTGTTTTTGTAAATGCTTACGCATTCTGGCAATGTTTTTAATTGTTTTATGTGAGGCTTGTGCTTGATTGTGAGCCGCCCTGAGCCTGCGCTGCGGGGAGGGCGGGCTATAAACCGAATTTATAAATAAATAAATAAATAAATAAAGAGTTCGTTTGCAGTAAGAAGTTGGAATACACACAGCCTTCACATCTACAAACATTTTTCAGGTAAAAGCTTTTGTGCCCATTATACTGACCAGAAAACTGAGACCTGGAGAAACTGTGGGTACAGCGATTTTTTTTAACCTCTTATGACTAGTGTTCCCTCTAAGCTGAGTTAGTGTGAGCTAGCTCACAGATTTTTAACCTCCGGATCACACATTTTTGTCTTAGCTCAGGAAGGATGGCTCCAGAGCAAACTAATTTACGCAGCAGCCAAATCACTCACTCACAACTTTAATGCCAGTAGCTCACAAAGTAGAATTTTTGCCCTTCCCCTGACGTCTCCTGGCTCTGGGATTCAGAAGTTTACCTTTTTTACTGCTGCAGCTACCCCCAATGCAGCTCAAGTAAGCCTTTAGGCCTCCAGTGTGTGCCTATTATCAACCACCTATACCCGTAAACTGCAGGTCAAACGCTGTGTTGACGCAAACACCTTTGACCTTGCAGCTGATGGTGCCTGGCTGCCCATTAGTAGTTGATGATTCTGGGAAACATGTTCAAATAGGGGCTGCTTATGGAGCAGCTGAATCACCAACAAGCAAATAGTAGTTCAGCTCACTGTTTAAATAACTGGTGTTATTTGTTGTGGAACAGCTTGACAATGTGACACAGCATAAAGGGGCCAAATTCTCACTAGAATTCTCCTCCCCCCCCCCATTTTGTACTACATTTTGATTTGGCAAATTTGTACAAAAATACTTTCAATAAAGGAACTAGAACTATCCATTACTGGGCAGTTTGGAAACAAATTCCACATGGAGAAAAGAAATTGAGCTGGATTGGCCTCGTTGTTTTCAGAATGAAGAGCCATTATTGGACAATGCAGCCAATATTTCAGGGCACAGAGTCTACACATAAACTGTTTAGGTTTTCCACAACTTAAATTCTTATGCTTTATGTTGTAAGCTGCCTTGAGTTGGTTCCTTGGAGAGGGGGCTTAAAAATTCTTTAAATAAATAAACTGTAGAATTTTAATACCAACTGAACCATCATGGCTTTGCCCAAAGAATTCTGAGAAATGTAGAGATCAACTGTCCCAATCACAGAAAGGTTCCCAGAATCCATGGAAAGAGGAAATGGCTATTAATGTAGCTTACAGTTGTATTGCAAATATATGCAAAAAGGTAACACATATAGTTATATACATCATTTATACTCTGCTTTTCTCTCCAGGGGGGACCCAAAGCAGCCTACATCATTTCCACCTCTTCCATTTTAGCCTCACAACAACCCTGTAAGGAATAAACAAGGTTTCACAGCATATATTGCTTTGTAGCTCTGGTGTGTGGTTTGGTGCATTAGTCTGCTTCTGGAACAAGGCGGTGTTTAAACCCTGGAGCTCCACAGACTGCATTCTGGATCCGGATCCTTCCCATGCAGACTGCACCTACCATTCCCCACTGCCCCTCTTCAGCTGCCACGCAGAGAAGAACTGACACAGTGCAGTGGAGGAGCGTGTGAGGTCTGAGTCAGAAAGCCCTTGTCTCACTTCACCCACAAACCCATTAGGCAGCTTTGGTTAAACCACTGTTACCTTATTCCCAGCCTCCACCCTTTCTGTAAGATGGGGACAGCAAAGCTGACACTTAGCTCAAGCCTCCTTCACTGTTCTGAGGGCAGCCCAGGGCAAACCAAGGTCATTCTGGTTGGATTCCCTCTTATTTTGCTCCAAAAACAGGCATGTAGTAACGGATGCCACTGCATGTGTTCTAGAGCTCCAGAGCTGATTCAGTGTTATATCAGTGGGACTGAAAGACCTAGCTGGCCACCTAACCTCTCTAGATGGCACCCTACGGATGTGGCCCAAACATACTTAGTCCACAGAGACTTCATAGTCTCTTCTATGTTGGTAAATACTTTACATGAGCATGGAGATTTTCCATTGTGCACGTGCCACATTCCTAGTCTAACTTCTCTGCTTTTGCACTTTACTCACTGTCCTTCTCTGCTTCTCTCTCTCATATCCCTTCGAGTCCGGCTTTCGCCCAGGCCACAGGACAAAGACAGCAGTGGTCGCCCTCACGAACGATCTCCGGAGGCATCTGGATTGGGGTGGATTGGCAATGCTGTTGTTGTTGGACCTGTCGGCGGCATTCGACATGGTCGACCACCAGCTACTAATCCACTGCCTTGCTGACATGGGAGTTCAGAGGCTTGCCTTGCAATGGCTTGCCTTCTTCCTCCAAGGTCGGGGACAAAGGGTGGCACTCGAGGAACAGCTATCCCAAAGGCACCCACTGGATTGTGGAGTCCCCCAAGGGGCGGTGCTGTCCCCAATGCTCTTTAATATCTATATGCGCCCCTTTGCCCAGGTCACCCGGAGGCTGGTCAGGCAGTTGGTTCCCTTCCTTGAATACAACGACTTGGCAACAGTGATCCATGCGATGGGTCACCTCAAGATTGGACTACTGTAATGCTCTCTATATGGGGCTGCCCTTGTCTCAAATCTGGAAGCTGCAGCTGGTGCAAAATGCTGCAGCCAGGCTCTTGATGGGTCTCCCTGTACGGGAGCACATCCAGCCTGTGCTAAAAGCATTGCACTGGCTGCCGATAGCATACTGGATCCGTTTCAAGGTGCTGGTTCTTATCTTTACAGCCCTTTATGGTCAGGAGCCTACATACCTGAGGGACTGCCTTTCCCCACATGTCCCCCAGAGAGCACTGTGATCAGGATCCCAGAACCATCTGGCCCTTCCACGTCTCAAGTAGGCCAGGCTGGCTACAACCAGGGCCAGGGCTTTCTTGGTGGCGGCTCCGTTCAGGTGGAACAAACTCCCAGAAGAGATCACGGTTTTGCGGAACCATATTCAGTTCCGCAGGGCCTGTAAAACAGAGCTCTTCCACCAGGCCTTCAATTAAGGAGCCACCTTTAACAGCTGAAGACAGAGAGCCCTGCCCCCTGGAGTCGTCAACAACAGCAGCCTGTGCCAGCCACCTAAAGGAAAGACCTACAAGCCGACTGCGAAAAGGGACTATTGAATAACGACTGCCATCATTAAACAATATATGACTATTAGCACTTTATTACATTAGATGGCTTTAAAACTGTTTTAATTGTAATGTATATGTTTTACTCTGTTTAAGCAGCCCTGAGCTGGCCTTGGCCAGGAGGTTGGGGTATACATTTGACAGATAAATAAATATCCTCCTACTCTTGTTCTTTAAAAAGCAAAGGAAAATATTCAAGGTGTCACTGGTGCCATTCCCCTTATGTCAGACCACGGCACATTTAGAAAGCCAGTGTGGCGTCTTGGTTGGCGTGCCAAACTATGCTCAGACATGGTTTGCTCTGTGATTTTGGACTGGTCATACACTCTCAGTCTCTAACCGACCTTACAGCATTGTTCTGAGGACAGTATAGGGGAAGAGAGAAACATGTATACCACCCTTGGAGCAAAAGTGTGACAAAAATGAGTAGAGACTTGTCAGCTTGAAGAATAATGGCTTAGAGTGCATGAGGGATGTTTTCATGTGACCTTCAGGGTATATTTGAGTTTCTACATCTTTTATTAAACAGGAGTCCAGTGGCACTTTACAGATGACAAAGTTTATTCCAGCATAAATTTTATCATCTGATAAAATGAGCTCCAACTCACAGAAACTTATGCTGGAATAACTTTTTGTTAGGCTTTAAGGTAATTTGGCTGTGACAAATTAACAGTGCCATCCTAATCAAAGTTACACTCATCTCAGCCCATTAACTTCAGCAAATTTAGAACAGCAATGCTTAGGGCTCAGGCTGGCACTGGGAATGTGGCTACCTCTCAGGAACTATTATCTGTGTGTGTGTTGCAAACTAATGCTGTTAGCACAGAGTTTGGGAAAGCGAAAGAATGCATACTGTAGCCAATGTAAGTTGTGTTGGGTACCAGTTTAGAACATTGCTGATTTAAGCCCCATGTGTGTGTGAAATGCTTTCAGTCTTATCAGCTTGACACCACCGGCCATGCAACATCATTGTGATTTATATTAAAAAATTATCTGTGACACTCAAGGAAGAGCTCTATGTAACTTGAAAGTTAAAAATTGGCCAAATTTGTCCCGTATTTTTGTGTCCAATAACAGCAGTACAGAATCCATCAAAGGACTCAAAGAATAAGCTGGAGAAGAATGGCAGGAATATATTAGCAAAAGCGGCATGAAGGCAGAAAGCTGGATTAGATGACTTGTGCTCAAAAAGGACATTGCAGAGCTGGGAAAAGTACAGAGGAGGGCAACCAAGATGATTAGGGGATTGGACCACCTTCCCTAAGAGGAAAGGAAAAAGAATTTTCCGGGACTTTTCAGTATAGAAAAAGGACAATTAGGGGGAGACATGATGGAGGGGTAGAGAGAGCTGAGAGAGAAAATTTTCTCCCTCTTCCAAAATACTGTAACTCGAGGGCATCCAAGAAGTTGATGGGCAGTAGATTCAGGACGTCAAAGAAGACGGGGACGGCAAAGGATGAGATGGTTAGACAGTGTCATAGATGCAACGAACATGAAATTGAGCCAACTTCAGAGGACGGCGGAAGACAGGAAGGCCTGGCGTGATCTGGTCCATGGGGTCGCAAAGAGTCGGACTCGACTGTGCGACTGAACAACAAGATTCAGGACAGACAAAAGGAAATACTTCTTTACACAAAGAGTTATTAAAATGTGGAATTTGCTGCCAGAGGCTGCAGTGATGGCCACAGGCATAGACAGCTTTATTAGACAGATTCATAGAGGATAGGTCTATCAGTAGCTACTACCCATGGTGACTAAAAGGAACCTCCACATTCAGAAGCAGTCAGCCTCAGAATCCCAGCACCAAGAGGCAGCATTAGGGGAAGGTCTCGACCTCTATGCTTTGTTGGCCCTCCAGAGCAACTGGTTAGCCACTGTGTGAGACAGGAGGCTGGACTAGATGGACAACTGGTTTCATCCAGCAGGCTCTTCTTACATTCTTATGACCTTCAGAATCTACCCTCAGTATCATTTTTGTGCTATGTTAATTGCTCTACATAAACAAAATTGTTAGCAAAATGTTTTAGATGGCCTCTTCCTTCTTTCATGGATGATTCCTATAAAGGAGCATCTTCACTTCGGTCAAGAAATGTAAAGTTTCAGGGAGGAAGTGTTGCAAAGCTACACTAATGCAAGCAGAAATTTTCTACTCATGGCTTTACCAGGGAGGGTTCACAAGGTGCCTAATGTATCAGGGACCATGTTTTGGAAGAGCTTTATAATTCCTTATCACAGAAGGATGAAAGAAGTTTTGAAAAGTATCTCCAAAGCAAGTAATTTGTCAGTCAACGTAGAGAGATCCTTAATAAAGAAGAGCTCATATGGGAAAGAAAAGGAACTAGAAATGTGAATGGATTTGATTTTCAGCTTTGGTGCTAATGGATGGCTTCAGTGCCCTCAGCTGTCCAAGTGGACTGCCATGATATGCGTGTGGCCGTATGGAGAGTATGCGCGCATGCTTCGTGGTTGTATGCAAATTGGCTACAAATGCCTTCCATTATAATCCTTCCATTATAATCATACCGATATTAATCCTGCTTCTTCAAAGCCTATTAAAGCTATGTTTGCATTTATATTGCACTGTTAATGTACGTTCATCCTATGGTTCTCCCACCCTGAGGTTGTGGTGGCCTCTATTTTAATTCAGCCTCCAAATTCAAAGGAGTAAACCTCTCAATAACAGTGCTAGGGGACAAGAAGAGGGGGAAGGCTTTAGCCTCTGTGCCCGGCTTGTTGGATTGAGGGGAGCATCTGGTTGGCCACTGTGGGAAGCAGGGTGCTGGATTAGATGGGCCATTAGTCTGGTCTGGTAGGGCTGTTATCTCTCTCTGATAGACAGGCAGTCAAAGAGTAGAGGTGAAGTCAAATCTCTTCACAGAGCAGTAAGAGGGAAGTCTCATCACAGTGGAAGACACACAGATGAAGCCTGGGTGGCATAAACAAGGCCACGGCCAGAGGACTGATGGGAACTTCCCACCTCAGAGATACTTTAGACCTCCTTTCTTTAATCCTGCTCCTGCCAGAAGCCTCTAGCCCTTTCCCAGACAGAAATATTCTAACAATTACTCAATAACAAGAAAACTTTTCCCTGCCTTCCAACATTCAGGCCAAGAAATGCAATGTTAAAGTGAAAGTACACATATTAGATTACTTGCATTTAGCTTCTTGCTCTTTTGTACCCATTTACAACCCCCCCCACACTTGTTTATAGCCACCCCCCCATTTGGGGTGACTGTGGCTTAGGTCCTTGGCTTGTTCCTGTCTCCTGCTTAGGCTCCTTAAGAAGGCGAGGGGAGCACAAAGCGTGGAAGAAAAGGAACACAGCTCAAGAGCCACTCTTCCCTGTCCCACTGGCAGAGCCAAGCTTTTAGCATCCTGGTTTCCCTCCTTAGGCTCAGATCCCACTGCAGCAATGTATGAGGCTGGCCTGGACATTTGGGGGGCCATATGGAGGGTGCTGATAAAATCCTGCACATCCTGACACTGGTGTAGCACAACATAAATGATTCAGACAGTAAAGCTGCCATATGCATCAGCGGCCAAAACAGGCTGGTTTCGAGCAGCTTTCAGGTAGGGGTGAAAACATGTAATCTGACCCTTATTTTTTAAAAGGGTGTTATACAGATGAAACAGACCAGAAACTTCAGCCCCAGATGTTTGGAAGCTGGCTACCTTTCCCCTTGCCATAGTCATGTGACCTGAATGTAGGAGTTTTTCAGAAGGGCGTATCTTATTTCCCTATAGTACTGGTACTCAGGCATTAGTATCTTTTGGAAGTCCCCAGGTCAAATCTCATTTCTGCTGTGAACACTACGAAGATGCTATTTCTCTTTCTACACTCACACTTTTCTGCCACTGCATTCGGAACACATCATCTGTTGCTCAGCTTCTCATCTGTAACCTGGGGATAATCATACTGGCCCAGTGAAGGAGGCCTTGAGCCACCATCTTAGCTGTGCGCTTTCCTATTAATCACTTCTCCATTTTGAAGGGGGGGGTGTACAGTGAAAAAGCCCCCTCCCATCAGCTCTCACTCACTGTTGGGCCGTTTAAACATCACTCCAGCCGGATGGTGCTCAGGAGCCACAGTCACTGGGAAACACCTACATCTTTGCCACGAGGGTAATCTTTCAAGGGTCCTTTAGCAGGCAGTTGCAAGGGTTACTGAGATAGTGCTTTGGACACTCTAAATCTTAAGCAAAGTCTAAGAAGAGGAATACATCATGGGGAGAGGCCACAGCTCAGTAAGGGAGTGTCTGTTTTGCATGCAGAACGTCCCAGGTTCACTCTCTGGCATCTCCAGTTACAGGAACCAAGACAGCAAGCTGGGAAAGATCCCTCTCAGCAGGAGACTCTGGACAGTTAATGCCAGTCAGTGTGAACTGTACACGGCAGTCTGACTCGAGGCAGCTCCATATTTCAAAGCTGTTTCCCCACCCCAAGGAGGACGTTGCTCTTCCTTAAATGAGTTCATATTTCTGCCATCTCCTCACTTTTAAATAATTTCTTACGCCAGATTCACACATGCAAAAAGCAGCACAGCACAAAACAAAGTCACAGTTTCTCTTCCTGTGGCTTGGATTTGTGGATGGCTATCTCATTGGATGTGGGGGGGGGGACTGCTAAAATCATACAGGGAGGTGTTTTGGACAAATGGCTTCCTACTTGAACTTGAGCCACCATCTTAGCTGTGCGCTTTCCTATTAATCACTTCTCCATTTTGAAGGGGGGGGTGTACAGTGAAAAAGCCCCCTCCCATCAGCTCTCACTCACTGTTGGGCCGTTTAAACATCACTCCAGCCGGATGGTGCTCAGGAGCCACAGTCACTGGGAAACACCTACATCTTTGCCACGAGGGTAATCTTTCAAGGGTCCTTTAGCAGGCAGTTGCAAGGGTTACTGAGATAGTGCTTTGGACACTCTAAATCTTAAGCAAAGTCTAAGAAGAGGAATACATCATGGGGAGAGGCCACAGCTCAGTAAGGGAGTGTCTGTTTTGCATGCAGAACGTCCCAGGTTCACTCTCTGGCATCTCCAGTTGCAGGAACCAAGACAGCAAGCTGGGAAAGATCCCTCTCAGCAGGAGACTCTGGACAGTTAATGCCAGTCAGTGTGAACTGTACACGGCAGTCTGACTCGGGATAAGGCAGGTCCATATTTCAAAGCTGTTTCCCCACCCCAAGGAGGGCGTTGCTCTTCCTTAAATGAGTCCATATTTCTGCCATCTCCTCGCTTTTAAATAATTTCTTACGCCAGATTCACGCATGCAAAAAGCAGCACAGCACAAAACAAAGTCACAGTTTCTCTTCCCGTGGCTTGGATTTGTGGATGGCTATCTCTTTGGATACGGGGGAAATGGCTAAAATCACACAGGGAGGCGTTTTGGACAAATGGCTTCCTACTTGAACCTGTCTTCGCAGATTTCTGTTTCAAGTAGCCATCAGGCCACAAGTCTGTGCATGTGAGTTAGAGGTAGAACACTGTGGGGAGAAACATCAAGCATCCCCTTGGAGGTTGTAATAGTTGGAAGTACTAACTCAACAAGTGCCTAGTGGGGTGGCTGCCAGGAACATACAACACGAGAACACGGATCCACATGGTACTTGTAGGCCTACAGCCCCAAAGGGGACAATGTGCCACAGGGCAGCATCAGCTGGGCAAGTTCAATACCTGGTCTGGCTCTCAGGCACTGGCGTGTTCAGAAGCGGCTTAAACCTTCTACAAGGCTTAAAAGATGTTTGCTAAACCGACCTTCAGCGTGAGCAGGGCAACGGCATTGCCTTCTGGTGTCTCCCGAAAACAGTTCAGACCGAGCGCTTCATCTCAGCCAGGCTCTAACATCGCCTCGGGGAGGAAAATCGCCGACAGCGGCGTGAAGGCTCGGGGGACTCTTGGCACGCTCCCCCTCAAGACCGGCTGGCCAGGCACCGCACTTTCCCCAGGGCAAGGGCCAAGCCGGGAAGACGCTTCCCTCCCCCTCCCACTCCTGACCCCCGTGCCCGGGGTGCTTCTTTCCTCCGCGCCCGTCGCCTGCCGCGGGCTTACCTGCTGCGTGCCTTCCGAGGAGGAGCTCCTCTGCAAAATGCTTCCTGCGGCAGGAAGCCCGTGAGACATCCCGGCGCGAGCTGCTGCTGCTGGCCAGAGGCGCGCCGAAGAGTCCGAAGCGCATCGAGGATCCCGGAGGGAGACGAAGGGCCAGCGTGACGACGCGCCGGCCGAACAGGCGACCGCGGACACCCCAGGCGCGCTGCACCTGACTGCGAGGCCTCGCGTGCTTCCCCGTCCCTTCCCCGCTCTGGGGCCGGGGGAAGCAGGAGCCCGCCCGAGACTCCCGCCCCGGACGACGCCACCGCTGCTGCCGCTAAACCGCTCGCCAAGTTCATGGAAATCACGTGGCGCCCTTTGAAACTTCGGAGGGAACCGGCTGCCAAACCGCAGCCGGGGGGCCGCTCCTTGGTGGATCCCGGCAGATGGGGAACCGAGAAGGGCCGGGCGTCCCGGAGACCC